AACGTTGGTTTTAACCAGAAAGGTTTTTTTGTAATAAGCTACACCTATCTGAATAATACAAATTAAAGCGGCCATAAATGGCAAAATAAACACTTTGAATTAGGAAGGTTCCAAATGGCAGATCAGGTTATTGATTTTAGTTTCTTTAAATAATTTGTAACCAAACCAGTGGTTATCAGTGGTTATTCTTTTATCCACTCTGCAATTTTATCATGCTGTGTACAAACCATCTGCATGTGTCTGTTCACTTTGGAAACACTGGCTTCATTTCATTGTTGTTAGTCATAAATGTCTGCATGGCTGCATTGTGTGTCTCTACGCTGCACTTTGAAGGACTGGTGACCTGCCTAATACGTACTACACTTCCTGCCCGTTGACCACTGGAGATGGTTTCCAATGTCCAAACCTCTGCCAGGATTAAACGGGTAAACAAAATGCATATATAGGTAAATAATACTGGTGGAGGCTGAGCAGGAGTGTCTGGTTTACTGTACTTATTTCTTGAGAAGGCAGAACAAAATTTCACCTTGGTGCTTCCATCTGCAACACATGACTGATAATTACATCACGCTGGTGATGAAGTAGGCTGACGGTTTTTGGCTATAGGGGACGCAACATGACATTAGTGACTCAGTAGCACTCACCTTCTGGAAAGGTTTTTCAGAGATACTGAGTCACCCTGCACACGCACAAACGTATGCTCAGAGATCCACACACAAACGTGGGTTTATTATTTGGGTCTATGCATGTTGCATAGCCAGTAGTGATGCGTATTGACCTGGTGGCCCTTATGTCGAACAGACACCACACGCGGTCGCCATACGGTGAAGCACGTTCTCACTTGAGTCAGGCAGCAGGTTTTTTAGGCAGAGGGAGCATAAGGCTGAGTAGGAGCTCTCTCCTGGCCTCGTGGTAGCACAAATCACACAGCTCGACACCTGACAGGCGGGTTTGTGGGAACACGGGGAGCGGGGTGTGTCAGCGTGTATGAGGTCTCAAGATGCAGAAGAGAAAATTACATGATTACAAACTGGATCTTGCAGGTTGTGTGATGACCTGTTTCAGACCATGACTTCACGTGGTTTTTGGAGTCTAGATGTTAATCATTTGGAGAAGACCGATATACTTTCCGTTTCCACGGTGTTGAAAACTGATTAGAAATGGAACAGAGCTATAACCTGAGAGGGAAGAAGTCCCCTACAGTTGAAAATTCATAATTTCTGCCAAGCATATAAAATGTAATCCAAGTTCCCGGAATGAAGTTTATTTTTGTTTTAGGCCATCTGTATAGCATTAAACAGGCAGCACACAAGGTACTTTCTGTGCTTTAAAACTAAAACTGAACATCTTTTAGTATTTAGATGCAATAAAAAGAGAGGTATATTGCTATTGGCTTGCATTACAATTACAATGTTGCCGTAGCACCTCCCCACAACAATTACCAAACCCAATTATATCCCCTACATGCTACCAGGGAATCACTCAGGGGTGATAAACTGAGTTTCAACCTCAGCTCATCATTGTGATAAATGAACCCAGCCTGTATAATGTGCATTAACATGTGGCTTCACCTTGAATTCACTAATACATTTATTGCACACAGTTTTCTGAACAGGAACAATAAGCTTATTTTTGACATAATATTTAACATCAGACAATATCTTCCAAAACTACTTATATGTAGTCATCCCCAGTTTTATTTAGGTTCTGTATATAGTAGTCCAACACAAAGTGTTGAATGATTGTTACAAAACTTTATCAGCAATTATGCTATATTCATTTTGGTTTCATTTCTATGAATATCAGTTTTTCCTGATTGGTTTTGTTTTCAGTTTCCCACGGACCAGCTTTCAAATGTTTCCACATTTTCTTTTCTCTGCTGTCACATTAGTGTTTAAGTTTATATTTTGTGATGTCCCTTACCAGTACTATCCCTTTTACCTAGCCTTTTTTTTAAACATCATTACGGTTCACTTTCAGACTCCTTTTAGTGCCTTTTCTCTCATTTAGCAAATGTTCATTACATTTCATACATTCTTACTTGCACCACATATATTTTTTTAGCACAACTAAAGTGACTTTGTTGTTTTTGCAAAGCATAAATGTACAAAACTTCCAGTTTTTTGACAATAACTGCTATGCTTGAGATTCCAAAACATCCTGTGAATGTATTTTCAACCCCTACAGGACAATCCTACAGTCGACGGCTTCACATTCACAAGTTTGTCCATGCATAACATTGGTCCCTCTGTACAAAGATGCTCAGAAGACGTAAATGCTGTTGCTTCTCCGCCTGACTCATTGTGATAAATGAATGCAGCAAGAAAGGCTGCTTTCAAGTCCGTGACTGAAAGACCTTGAGTTTACACAGTCATTTGCAGACCTTGGATGTGTATTCATTGCACTGTTTTTTTCCGCTCACTCTGTGAGGGTGGAAGTGAACAGTCTGCACACAAACACTTCCACTTCTGAAGGAGCTGAAACAAAACCAAACGCTTTGCTCTTATCATCATGTGCAAAACCAAACTGTTATATCATCAGAGCTTAATAAATCTCTGTTTAATCTAACAGCTTCAGTTACACAACTGCCATTGTTGGTCTGATGCCTTTATGTTTTCCAAATGAGGGTAAGCACTCAGAAAGGAACAGCTCTTAATAGCTGAAGCTATGACTGAATAGTGGCACCATGTGGTCATTCCTCAGTATTACACTGGGAATTAAAAGGATGCCTGACAAAAAAAAAAAAAAAAAAAAAAAAAAAAAAAAGCACAATGCGTGACTCAATCGTGTACACTGCGTACATAATTATTAAGTAAGTGAATATTTTAATCATATCACTTTTAGGTATATTTTCTAAGTCCAAGCTGGATGAATGTTTAATAGATTTAGCAGGTTATGTACATCTGTGTAATTAGGGAGGGTGTGGTCCAAGAAGGCCAACACTCTGTATCAAAAAGTTCATCAAGAGACGGTCAGACTTCACGAATGGAAGGGTGAACCCTGTTGAAAGAAGGCTGGCTACATTGGTGACGGATTACCATTTGTAAATTTCAGAAATTTTTATTGGAAAGTTTTGAGTTGCTTGTTTATAATTCTCGCTTAAAAATAAGAAGCAAGATACACCTGTGGTTTCATCGCAATCTGATGTAATGGTTTTGAGAAATTTCAAGCAGCAAGTAAACGGCAACTTGGATGAGAAGCGAATGAACATCTGAGGAAGCACAGGTGCAGTGTGCTGGGAAAGCAGCATCGGTGCCAGATGTGGGAGCAGACCGTTCCACCTCATTAAAAATGAAAATTGAAAACAAACCTGAACTTTGACTCAAACGACTCTCCATCATGGACAGTCCACCCCCACCTTCTTCGCTATACCCTGCTGCTTCAGTGGAGCTCTTTCTCCACTAAAGTCTCAGAGCTTCGCATTCACAAGAAGTTCGTCCTTAAATCATTTCTGATTTCAGAATCATGACTGAGAGCAGCTGGTAGAATCACATAAACTACTTGCTTTGACAGCAATCATTGTCAAACATTCGTTGAAAAAGCAATGTCAGTGGAGCTCAGCGTAGATCTAGGGTCCAAGTCATGCAGATATGTCACCAGTTTGAATAAAATCCTGAGAGACTGCAGGAACACACTGCAGGAACATCGACACGTCAAGAGCTGAGAGAGAATTGAGTGATAAAGACGTGCCTGACACCTTTACCTCAGCTGAAATGTGCAGCTGCCAACACTAGCTTGGCCAAACGCCTTCTGAAGGAAGCTTTTAAGTTGATTTGAGAAGACTGAGTTATTTAGACGTAACTCCAAAAAGTATGTTTTGGAGTGGTCAAGGTGAGGCTTTAAATTTAAGTACATTGTATCAACTGTCAAGGACAGTGGTGATGGCATCATTATGGACTGTTGCACTGACAGGAACATTGGCGTATTGCACTGATCAATAATGAGCAAATGGCGAATAATAATGAATGAAAATGACCTTCGGGATCATAAACTTAACAATAAAACCCACAGCTATGGGTGTTCCAGCAAGATAAATATCTCAAACCAAACACATCTAAACTGGTTTCAGATTGAAATAAGCTTGCTAACATTAAGCTTCTGGAAAGGCCTTCCCAAAGCCCTGAACTCAAACATATTGGAAAAACTGTGAACTTTTAAAACCTGGCTCCACGATAGAAAACCATCTAAATGAAACACTCACTCTGCAAAGTAATAAAATATGCAGTCATGTGCAAATTATTGCATAGAGAGATTAAACTAAATGTTGGTGGAACTACATGCATATATTTAGCCATTTATCTATGTTTGTAAACCAAAATAATAATAAACAAATCTGTAAAAGTCTCAAATAATTATGACATTTGGATCAGTGGAGTGTGTTTATAATCTGACAGGAGCATCAATTTATCTCCAAATGTAGGTTTTTTTTTTTTTTTATCTGTACTTCCTCAACACAGAACATTATCTTCTATCGGGGTCCTGTATGTGCTGTACTCATGTCTTCCTGTGGGCTCAGATACTTCACACCTGTTTGACAAAACCTGTTGCATAAGATTAGAATCCTTCCTACCATAACATTGTATCAGGAGCAGCTTTATCTCTTCATTATCCAGTTCAGACACTCCAGATGCTAACTGATGGTGTTTCCCATTGCTATTCGCATGTTGATCTGGCGATTAAAATGATTCTCTTCCCTATTTAGAGCGGGTAAAGGTATTACTGCTGTGGGACAGCCTTGATGCATCAACTTTGACATGGAAAAACCACACATCCGTACAAGGAAACCATATTATCGACAGAAAACTGAATTGAATTTCTTGGAACACCTTCAACCTTACACCTGGTATAAGATTCTGGGAAAATACTGACGCTGTGTTGGAAGGAGACGAGGGATTAAAAAGTGAGACGAATAAAGACACAAACACGGTTTGTTTAAAAGTAACATTTGTAAGCTTATTATTATTTTTGTTATCTTGATCACCGTTATAACCTCTGTTATGGTTTGTTCAGTTTACATTTTATTTTTCAAGTTCATTTAAAGTCATTCCAGTCAAAGGTAAACATGATTGTAAATGTTGTTTCCAACGCTATTAAATGCTTTTGTTTTTGCCAGACGGTTGGTCGCACATTCTCACACTGACAGCGAAGGAACAAAAAAACACAGACGGTGACTCACACAGTCTCTTACCTGTTCACTTATACGCACGCAAACTCGCACGCACGCACGCACATTTACGGTGATGAGCAGGAATCAGTTCTGCCTCTCACTCTTTCGCTCTCTTGCTCTCGTGTCTTGAGTTCTTAAGTGCAACTTGTAGAAGAGTGATTTGCTCTCGCAGGGCGCTCCTCAACCCTCCGACCGCAACATTTTAATACCTCACTCTTCCACTGGGAGCCATATGTACACATGGGCTGCGTCACATAACTGTGATCAAGTTTGTTATTCGTTTGTAGGCACAATCTCTTGTCTGTTTATTAACATAGATTCTCCAGACGTGTTGTTTGCACACGTCGGTAAGAAATTCCAGACTTTAGAGATTTTAAAACTTTCACAACAATAATGGACTCTTTAACTACAAGCACACAATTACGTCAGAAAAGAGGATAGATTAAAGAATTATATTAACAGAGTTCCAATTTTCTGTATTTTAGTCATTGCTGTGACTGTAAATGGCTGAGTAGTTTCTTTTTGCCATTTCCTGATTTACGAGAATCGACACACATCTTCCGTACTTGTAACATGTTTTCCTGTCTTCACAAAGAGCGGATAAGAGAGACGGACCTCTGTATTTATAAACAAGGGACACAGAAAGTCATAGATTACTCATTCAAACTCCTGAGACACTGTCTACTTTTAAAAGATATACAAATTCAAATGCTTAAACCAGATTTATTTTATAGAAACGGCTCAAGTAAAAAAAAAGCAAAAAAAAGCGTCTATTTCTAACTTTGTAAAGCAAAGAAAAAAGTTAAAGGTTGGATTTTTTCTGATTTTTTCAGGCAGAGATTATGCCACTGCAATTAAATATCTATTTTGGGGTTTTTATACATCTTTAAAAGAAATTTGGAGGTCTATCATAACTCATTTGACCAGACTTAAAACCATCAAAAAGCTTTGTGGGATGTAGGCTATACTTAAATCATACCTTTTCTGAAATCATTGTCTTCATCGAAGGTAATACAAGAGACCAAGTTTGTTTTAAAGATTATGCCCAAGCAGTTTGTCTTGGTTCTCTTTCCTTAGTTTATAAAGAGCAACTGCAAACAAAAATATTTCACTAAGTTTCTTATGATGGCTAAACTCATCACTATCTTCCAATCAGCTCCTTTTCATTCTGGTGCCCCTGTTTTGTACCCATGTCATTTTCTACAAACTATTTTATACCCCATGTACTTAAACTATTGTGTATGAGTTCATTTTCCCAGCTGCTTAAGTGTTTAAAGTAATTATAGAGATAAAGAGTCAAATCTTGCATTCATACCCCACATGTATGTTGTGTAATAGCTTACTTTCATTGATTATGGTTGACTTGTGAGGAATAGACATAATATGACCCCTTATCAAAACAACACAGGTGTGGACTGTTGTTGGATGTAAAAAAAATAAATAAAAATTAATAAGTTAAAGGAGATATTCCACAGCCCACATTTACATATGGCTCTTTCTATTTTAGTTTGCAATTTTGTTTTACCCCAGATCATCCGCTAAACATAACCAAAATAAACATTTGAAGATAGATATTTACATACACTGTAAAAAATAAAAAAAATAAAAAATAAAAAAGACCACCATTTTTCCTCTGTCTCACAATAAATCAGTCTAAGTTGATTTCTTTTAGGTCATTTAGAACAGCCAAAGTTAAGTGCTGATGAAATTTAGGCAACAACTTAAGTTACAAACTTCCTTGCGTAAAATCATGAAAAATATCTGATGAATCAAGATAACAGGAAGATGGCTGTGGACTTCCACAAGTCGGGTTAAACCTTGGGTACAATTCCCAGGTAACTAAAGGTGTTACCTGTTAAAACAATTGCATATAAGTAGTGGCCAAACTCGGTTCTAACTTCTAAGTTGATCTGTCAGGATCTGTTTACCAGAAAATTATTGTCAGAAATTTAAGTAGAAGAATGGCCAAAATGTTTGACCCAAGTCAAGATAATTCTTCCAAATGTATATTTATTCTTAGTAGATAGAAGGAACTTTGCTCGTCCTAAGTGACCCAAAATAGGAACGTTTTTGTCTGGTTCAATGTGAGACAGGGAGGGAAAAAAATGGACACACGTCTTTTTTACACAGTGTTAATATCTGGTCACAACTGTACCTCATTAATCAGCTACAGAAGAATGGAAAAGAAAACACAAAAAAAAAAAAAACAAACGGAAAAAAGAAAAACAGAACTTCAAGTTAATAATGATTCTTACAGCACATTTCACTTCTGTATATTTCAAGACTTTGTAAATTTCATTCTATGTCTGTTGTGACATTTACACGAGTACCTGAATGCCTCATGTGCCGGTGGGTGAGCCGATGAATGACCTTGTGGGCCAGCCGTCAAGCTCGCAGTCCATCATCATCATCATCATCATCATCATCATCATCGTTCTTTTAATCAACAGTATAATCATCACCTCCATCTGTTTTACCAGAAACTACAGTGAGCCACTCTCTACGGGAGATCATCAGGGTTGGGGGACCGCAGTGAAATAAGGTGCTAGTAACTATTGAAATGCTATATTCTGATGAGACCGAACGATGTCAATGAATTGCTGTATCTCCCCCACCGTAGCACTTAGTTTGCCTCTATAACATGTTTTGTTTTTTTGTTGCTTGCCATACTTTTAACACAACCCACATGTGGACAGATTCTCATTTGTTAGTACCATTTAAAACACTTCTTTTTAACTGCCAAGCATATTTTCTCACTCAAACACAACCAGAACGTCTGATGTAAAGGTTTACAGAGAACATGGTGGAATCTTGGACCAGCGGGGAACTTGTTTTTTGTTTTTTTTTGTTGTTGTTGGGGTTTTTTTACGCTTGTGGCCGTGTGAAGGAAATCTCCTTCCTCCCCGCTCCTCCTCTTCTCGTCTGAACAGTCTGTTGTGAGGAGGCGCAGTATTGCTGAGTGGCTGCTCCGTCGCCATCATGTGCTTTGCTAACCCCAGAGACGTCAGAGGAATATAACTGAGTATTTTAGCGAACAAGACGGAAATAATATCTATCTCTGAAAATTAAAAACATTAACAAACCCTTGCAGTTTCTGTAAATGGCACATTTAAATTCTTTTTTTTTTTCCTTTTCTCCCCCACAAAAAAAAATTACAATATAGTAAAAGATTTATCTTTTAAACGCTCTGTATTTTCTCATTTTCCCTTCGATAGATTGATCAGACATAAATGCAGGATGACACAGTTTAGATGGCTGATGAAACACTTGCATCTGAGCCCAGCGGTGTTCTTTTCTGGGTATGTGTGTATAAACTATTAGCTACTCTGTCTAGTTTCCTAACCAGACCCAGCGCAGATCATTTGTTGGGTTCTATATATTTTCCTCTGCAGATTAGGACAAGCTCCCAGCATTAGGGACGAGAAAAGGAAAGGCAATATCAGTTCAGTTCTGCTGAAGTCTGCTCCTTTCATCTTGGTGCAAGAAACTATGGCAACTAGCCCTAAGAAAGTGTTATAGCCAATCAGGTCCATGAAAAAAAAACAAATCTTCAAATCATTTATAATTGGGTGGCTGGAGTTCTTCCTTTTAAGTGGAGGTTTTAGCTCCTCCTCTCTGGTTGTATAAATGCTTTGAGGGGTGAGCGTGATTCAACAAGCTCACCCTGCGGCCTGCTCAGACGCACAGGCAAGCAGATGCACACAGAAACAAAAACACATTCAACGGCACCTGCACCTGCAAGAACAGGCTGTGTTTAGCACAACTTAACAGTTCGGTCTGTGTCACCGAGTCCCTCGAGGTCTTTCGGTGCTCCCATAAAAAAAGAAAAAGAAAACAGCTGTCCAAACTTACTCGTTTTGCATGTTGACGATTGAAAAACGTATAGCTTAAAAAAAAAAAAAACCCTGCTGCTCTTCCCTCCTGCTTTCTTTATGCCCTCGCTTTTCCCTCCGAGCCAGCTCCCCCACACGCTGACGTCTTCCCCGAAAGGCATGGCGACGCTGACGGCAACACCTGCTGCTAGGAGATGAAGAGGGCGGCAAGGAAGAGCATCGTCACGGTTAGGAGAAGTCGATCCCTGGACGGACTGCTTCCGCTGACACTCTTCTCCAGTTTGGGAACAAATGGGTTGTATTCGTCTGTGAAATAGGAAAAGAAGAAACGATATCTTGAAACAACCTTACCCCGCCGCCGCCAGTGAGATTTTGAAGGAATTTGAAGGAAAGATTTTGAATCGTTTTTCATTTCTCACTTTTGCAGTTTTGGTTGCATGATTGTGAAGCCATTTGCAAGGGGACATTTTGTGTTAAAACTTGTATTAGTACTTACCTTCTTTGGTGAGATTTCATACAAGCTTTCCCAGCTGGTTTATAATACTTTTCTATTATCCACTTATAGTCTACTGCAAGGAAATGTGGTTCTTTGTATTTTGTTTGATCAGGAATCGGTTGATCTTGTGCCAGAAGGGTTTAGCATAAGAGCTTAAGAAAAAAACAGACAATTACATGAACCATTTAATTACTCGCTTTGCACCTATTTACTTATTATTTGCATGTCAGCAAATGATAAGTAAATAGGTGCAAAATGATTTGTTTATTGTTATCAGATGGACGTAAATTGGTTACATGTGGGTACAAAATGGCAGCAAGAATTGCAGATCTGAAAACAAAAATATATTCGTTTGGCAAAAAAAACAACTTCACTGGCAAATAGAAATATGTTAATAGATAGACCATATATGTAATAGCAGCTGTTGTCAGAGCTTTATTGTCTTAATACAGTGACACATTTCTATAACAATCTTAGACAGAGACACAATAAGTGCTGCGAACCTCTTCCAGCTCCAGGCATCTACACCTGGTGATAATCTAAATATAGTTTGTAGTCTTTTGTTCGTGACTAGACATCAACCGTTGATGTGTAATCAATGAACAAAAAGGAAAGAAAAAAAAAAAAAAACAGATGCAGACATCTCGCTGCATGCCAGCACCTCTGAGACATGTGCAGCCAAACACACCCTCTGTAGTCACTTGATTAATGGGCACGGAGGCGAGACAGAAGCACAATTTTTCGTCTGCACAAAAGTCATCTGAGGCTGATTAGTGGTTCTGTTTGCGGTCCAAAGATAAGGAAATAAAGCGGTGACGCTCTTGGTGTTCTCCACCCGCCACTGGTATTTAGTTCCAGAATATTTCCAGCTGCCCTGTGGGTCAAACAGCACAGCAATGACCGGCTGACACCTGGTTTCAGAGCCGGCCTACTCTGGTGTGCTCTGCGGGGCCGTCTAATGAGGTCTGTGCGGCAGTGGCCCTCGGGTTAAACGCTTTGTCCAAGCATGCGGCCGAGGGAGTCGGGACACTCTTGTTACCTCGCTGTGTTTCTCTGCAGCTGACTGACTGAGGAATGTGACTTTAAATACACAAGCAGACTGGAGAGAATCTTGCATAACTGGTCTAAAATCTGGCTCTATGCCTCATTACGCTGACACACACACGCCCCTATTGTCTGTCACAGGCAACAAATTAGTACTGGCAGACGGTGTTGTGAGCTGTCTGTGCATCACTGTATGACCTTGTGGCATGGTGAAAAAAATATCTGCTGTTGATGTAAGCAGCATTGAGCCTGAATGTGTGCTGCTTGGGTCTTCTTTGTGTGAATACTTTTCATCGGAGCTGGTAAAAAAAAAAAATCATATGCAGAGTCCTTTAAGGTTCCATTTTGGGGCCCTACTTATTCAATACCTACATGGTCCCCCTATCTCAGATTAGAACAAGTAACAAGATTAGTTCCCATAGCTTTGCAAATGATGCATAGCTTTACATTACAATGTCATTAGCTGACAATGAACCCATTCAAGGACTGAGCAGATGCATAGAACAAATCAGTGCATGGCTGTGCCGTAATCTTCTTCAGCCGAATAGAAACAAAGCTAAATCTTTATTGACCTAAAGAGGAACAATAAACATTCAGTGCACAGCTTCACTTTTACAGCTGGAAGCTACTGATCAGGCCTGAAATCTGGTAATTTGGTAAAACTAAACCAGTATGAAATGCAGCCTCCATAACAAAATTCTACTGTTACTTCAGTGAAAACAACAAGAGGAGAAAAGTAGCCCCAGAAAACCATCATGGTTTCTGCAAAATACATATATTTTTTTTTATTGTTTGCATTCACAGTTGAGACCCGAAGAGTGAAGTCACGTTAACACAGGTGTTAAATTCAAAATGACATTTTAATTCCTCTGTGAAATGCCAGTAATATCAACCTTGTGCACCAGTGTTGTTGTTTATTTTAAGATCAACATTTATAAAAAAAAAATAAAATAAAGAAAAAGTTGTTTCTCTGCTGTGCGCACGTTTATTTTAAGGGCTTGCTCTGGTGTTGCGGTTGTATGTTTAATTAATTATTCACCAAAGATGTACAGAGTGTCAAGTTGATCAATTGCCATGCAGCCACGGGACAGATGCCTCCCCTCAAGTAGGAGCTAAAAATGACCTTATAAAGAGCAGTCTGTAAATCGGCATCGTTCACAGTTATTGAGTTTCAGATATAAATACAAACACAGCCGAAAGGAACTTCAGAACGTCTTTCATGTGATAATATAATATCCACACTTTTAGAGCAACACCCTGTAGATCAATATAAAGACAACACAATATATTTTTAAATATAAATTTGGTCCTAACATGAGAGAAAATTTATGACAAATATATGGCAGAGTTATAGGGCCATCGTAGATAAAAAAAAAAACAACAAATGACATGGCCACAGAGAAGTCAATTATCACAAAAAAAAAAAAAAACTCAAACATTTCTATATTAATTTTAAATCACATGTGCATCTCATAGCTTTACTGTTTCCATCTTGGAGAACATCTTACATAGTTGTTTTTTTGTTTTTTTTTTTAATTTATGACATTTTTAATGATTTCAGTAAAAATCTGAGGTTTTTATTTGCAGCTTTATGACTTTAAAATATGAAAAAAATATATATTTTTTTTCATAACATGTCAAATAAATTTTTTCTCTTCCCTCGGCGAAGGCCTCAGCACTCAGTAATAAACACAGATTGAAACTATACTTTATACATTTATTTTTAAAAAAAGGGATGCGCAAGAGTGAACAGTCCAGTGCAATGCTCATGAGTGTTTAGGATACTTGGTAGAAAGACGGATTTGAGTTTACAAAGAGTCTCAAAGAAAGGCCCAATAGGCTAAATTAAACTCATCCTGTCGACACCTTTAAAGACTAAACCCTTTGAATATTATATTTCCACGTGATTTTAAGCTCAATTCCAAGAAACGGCAAATTGAGTTCTGAATAATTAATGTCCAAAAAAGAGAGCAGATTTTCAGCGAGTTGTAACACAAAGGGAAAGCGGTAAACATTCTGAGCAGCTTGTTGAAACTTGAATTGCAGGCTAAACGGAACAGAGATTTCAGATGTGTTTATATTTATTCCAATAAACTATTTAAACCTGATAAAAACGCCTTCCGACGATCATTTCAACAGATGGTCTCTTTCAAGCATTGCATGTCCAGGTATATATTTTCTCAACAATTTCCATTGGGCAGCTGTTCTCTAATTTAGCTTTGAAAAATACACTCTAAACTTTAATCCATGTCAAAAAATTTAACCAGAGCATAGGTGAATTACCAGATAATCTTTTAAACAATATTTTCCTCAGCCATCTGCTTATGTGCAGTACAGTAACTCTATAAACTTTATTTCCTTAAAGCCATGTTTTAAGCTATCTTTTAAAGTGTTTTTTTTAATAGTCCTCCAGTATTTCTGAAGTCTTTGTTTGAGCTTTTGTGGATTTTTTTTTTCTTCACAAATTATCTCTCCATTACTTGCTTCTGAAACGAAGAAGTATCGTCAGAACTAAAAAGATGAAGCAAATTTTACTATCCGAAGGTCGGACCTTGCAAAATAAGTAACGGTCTTAAACAGAACGAGGGAAAACATTATCTTCCGCTTGATTATCTACTGTGTGACAAACATTTGCAACAGAAAACCTTACGAATCACCTTATCAAATCTAGAATAATATTTAAGAAAAATGCCAAAGTGGTCTTATCTTTGGTATTGAGATATAACCAAAGAAATTGAAGCATAAGGTGACGACATGTAAAACTGAAGTCAGTTTTTTATGACTTCACTCATGAAAGTCATGACTTCATTACTTCACTTTGGAGTATGGAGTAAAAAGGAACTTATTTAGTTTGAAAAATCATTGAAAAATGCAGTTAGAAATGATTTTTTTTTTCTGCCTTCGTTTGTTATTTTGTATTATTTTACACCTGAGTACAGTTTTTGGGTACTCCACCCACCTATGCCATCGATTCAGAGCCTGCTTTTGGATGTTTTGTTGAATCGGTAGAGGCAAACAGATGTGTAGCAGGCAACAGAAGGTTTCTATTCTCTTGAGCTTTTAGCATCTGTAACGGAACATGATGGATTTAGAAAGGTTGTCAGCCTCGAGGACATTTCACAGTTAAGGTAAAAAGATGAGGCACAGCTTTCTGATCACCATGTCGCTGTGGCTCAGATGTTGCTGTGTGAGTGGTTTAATAGAAAATAACGGGGTTGTATTTTTCTGATGCGGTTGAGATGTGCAACTGCCCTTTAAAGCTAAAGTCTGCATTGCCTTGAGGAAACAAAGGAAGAGAGATGTTTGTATTAATGATGCTAGCAGCACAATTAGTGTTAAATGCTAGAATAAGATGCTAAAGACAGAATGATTTAATGTTACTGTGGTATTACAGCAGCAGCTGCTCTCCATCACGCACAGTGGGATGTCTCCTCTGCTTCTAATGCAATAATTTCTGGTCACTCATTGCAGGAAGGTCACCAAAAATATTTTTGGCACTCCAGTGCAAGTAATATGTCATAGTTCCTATGAACTGTAACCGGGTGGTTTTATTGGAAGGCATAGTTTACATCTAGTGGTTGTAAATTCCCACTGTGGTTTGGGCCT